AGCACTGGGTGTTATTTGTAAGTGATGAATCACTAAATTCTACTCCTGAAACCAACATTACACTGTATGCTAACTAGAAGTTAAAAATTTGGAAGATAAAACAATAAAAAATACTGTGTAGAAATGAAATAAAACTATTGTCTCTAGATGTTTGAATCTTGAGGTAGTTGTTTTCTCCTCCCCCTTTTCCCTCTTTCCTCTGTACCCATCTCCTTCCCTGGCTGAGAACTCAGTGAGGAAGCGGAGCAAGCCAGGGGGCTGGCACAAACAGAGCCAGTGTTTTCCTAAGGGATATCCCATGAGTCCAGCTGCCATCTTGATTCTGACTGCCAGGAGCTGCTAAGGTTAAAGGGCACATGAGGCCAGTCTACAGAGATGCTTTTCATGCACAGCAGAGAGAGCAGTGCACAGCTTTTAAAAGGCAGGGAAGTCATGTTTGGCCAAGAGCACAGTGTTTAGCGCATACTAGATATTTGATAATTGTTGACTCAACTGAATGTAACATTTTTATACACTGTGGAAAAATTTCCTCTCACTGGGAACAATGATAGCTCTACATCCTTCTGCAATAAAATAGGCAAACTTTGAGATTCTATCTCGACTATTCAAGACTTACAGAATAGTCATGAAAAATAGCTATAAAATAAATGGTTACATGTGGTAAGTCTTGATTTAACATCACTAATTCACTCTTCCCTGAAAGGAATTCAGCACTGTAAACTGATGTGGAAACATGACATCTAGATGATATTTACTCTGGCATGGCAATACTAAATCACATTATCTGACAATCCTTGGGGAATGGCCTTGCAATGTCAAGACAATGTGAAAATGATGTGAAATCAAGTTCATAGAAATCTGACTTCGATGTTCAAAATAATGAATCTGTCTCCTTGAATGCTGATAGGCAGATAAAGATCCAAAATGATTACACAATGATGACAGGATACTTCTATGATGATGATGGGGGTTAAAATGAAATGGATTTGAGGCTGGTTTAATGTATGACCACATTCTTATATCCCTTGAGCAATTTCCACACTTATCACCTGCTACACATTATGCCAGGTGCTGGGATACCAAAAGGCGGCATGTGTGGTCCTTGTCATCTAAGGGCTCCTGGTCCAGTGAGTGATGGCTGTTACAGAAACATAGACAGGGGCCTACTGGAGGCCCACGGAAGAGCCCTCCTCTTGTAAAGGGCATCTGACACTAGTCTGGAAGGATGAGCAGGAGTTCGTGAGTGCGGGTGTTTAGGAGGGGTAAAAGGCATTCTAGGCACAGGTTGAGCAATGAGAAAAAAGAACATGTTTAAGGGCTGATAAATATTTAGTAAGCCAGAGCTCAAGGCAACTGTGAGCAAGTGATATAGAGAGAATGGAAGGGTAGGCAGAGGTCAGATCTTAACATTTTATGACAGATTTCAAATGAGGGGCAACCAGATTAAGAGCTGTGTTCAAGGTCTCAGAGAGAGCAGATGGGAGTCAAGGCCAGATCTAGGTGACCTGGAAGCCACACTATCAAATACCGCTTAGGTTTAAAGGAATAAGGTGTGATGCTATAGTTCAGAGGCAACAAGACATCCCAGACCTCCAGTTTGGTTTGGATCACCCTGCTGAAGGAGAGGGATAAAAACTGACCAAGGTCACTCCCTGCTCATTATTCTACATGCTTCCCATACTTGCTCAAAGACTTTGGTTTGATTTCATCTGAGCCAGGCCAGGCCCACAACTGCTGCAGGTGTGAGTTCTGACCCCCTTTCATGAAGGCTCAGTCACACCCTTGTCCGATCCACGTGTACAAGATTCACAGTGTACCTGCCGCTTCTTCGTAAGGGCAGCCTGCTAAGGATGTTAACATGCACCTGCAGCTGTCTCATGGCCCCAGTTTAGAAGTCATAGCTGTTGCTGACTAATGCAGCTAGACAGGAACATGCAGTGGGAAGCCCATCAGTGCCAAATGACTCACAGCCCAGCCAACCCAGTGCTGCCCTGAACACACGAGCCCCAAGAGTGCCCCTCCTGGGAGTCTCTTTTACTGTGTTCTAGATTCCCCAACATACAGAGAGGATCAGGTGAATACCCCCCCTAACGCCACAGACAGAGGCACTAAAGACACAGTATCTCTACCTCCCAGCCTTCCCGTTGGGATCCCCTAACCCCTATGCCACCACCCAGATCCTGAAATGGTATCTCCGACTACTGTCAGCCATCTGCTCCATCCTGTAACACATGTAACAGGCAAGCACTGGCTAGATGACTCAGCACCCTCCCGCTGTTGAAAAGCAGAGCCAAAAGTCTCCTCCTGCTGGGGAATCTCACTACTCCCCGGTGAGGGTGAGCACACTGGAGTGGGCATTTAAGGAGGAAAGCCGGCACCCAGCAAGGTAAACATACATTTACTAGGGAGGAATCTGGGGCCCCAGAGCACTCAAGGCATTTCTAGCGTTCTTCTCCCAAGAGCTCTTTGGACTGTGCATGGCAGAGCCATGTGTTCTCCATACATTCTTGCTTTCGGTGTAGCTTCACATTCTAAGATGTCAGATGCTCCGCCCACACAATGTCCTAAGGAAGCCCCGATTTCCTGGGGAGGGAACACAGCCATTTCTTGGCCTGCCGAGGAGCCTAGGTCATTTTGACTTCAGTTCCTCGCCCACTGAAATGAACGTAGCTGGGCCGAGTACTGCGGCACTGGGAGTTATTTAAAACCTCTAACGTAGTGACTCCAGTGAAATGTAACAACATTGCCAAGTGCATAGGACAATATGACTCATGGGTGACTTTTACCTCCAGCTCTGCTATGCCGGCCGTCCCCACGGTACCTCGGTGACTTCCAGCCATCGGCTGCTTGCTTCCACGTGCATAGAGATGGAAGGACCTGGGGAGCTAAGCAATGGGCCTTTGGAGGGCAAGCGTGCTCACAGGCCAGGAGCTGTGCCAAGTGGAAGGACTCTCTGTGGTGCTCTGAGTTCTTCTGGCTGTCCCCAGTGGCCTCGGTAAGCACTTAGCCATCCTCCACAAGGCTGAGCCAAGAAAGGAATGGAATGGAAGAGTCCCCCTGGAACAGGATGCTGCCAGCCGCCTGGAAGTCCACGTGAATGCCTGCTGTAACCAGATAAGCCCCTTTCTGAACTAGTAGTGGCCACAAAGTCATGGATCCACCCCAGGGCCCCAGGTCTAGAGGGGGCTGAGGGATCGTGGTAGAGCACTCGAAGAAAGAAAAAGCCAAGCTAGCATTCTTAGAAAGGAATTTACTTGGTCACCAGCCAGAAGGAGTCATTTCTTTTTTTTCCCATCTCTTTTTCGCCCTCCCACACTTGCTGTCGCCCGCAGCACCCCATGTCCAAGTTGGCTCTTAGGGAAGAATGTGATCTAGCTTGTCTCTGTTCTTCGGATTTTTTTGTTGCTTTGTTTCACCAATTCTTTTAGCAAGTTACACTGCTGTAAACCACTTGGCGGAGGCCAAAATGTTTTACTACACAGATCCACGTTTGTACTTAAAATCTTTCTTTTGCTGGGAATCTTAAAAAACAAAAGTGAAGGGAACATAAAGAAGATGTGCTCAGAAAACCAGAATGAAGTCAAGGAGCCAAAATACCATTTAAAGAGAAGCAGATGGGAGGTGATGTTTGAGAAGAATTTAGGGTAGGAAGTTCATATAGTTTAATGTTGGAAATATAGGTGTGGAAATAGCTTAACTATGATATGTAGCCATTTGGGGGAGAAAAACTTATATGCCAGAGATTCTCTGCCAGGAAAGACTCTGGGACCATAAAAAGAAGGAAAAGAAAGGAGTCTGAACCCCCTGCTTCAAAAGAGGGCAATGCTGGAAGACTGTCCTCCTCTGATTCATTAAGAAGCAGAGCTGTCCCACAGAAAATTCAGCTGTCAGCTCCACACCGAGTCCCACATGAACGGAATCATCAACAACCCTTTAATCCACTCATCTATGGTTGGAGACTTGGGTTGCTTTCATATCTTGGCTATTAAAGATAATGCTGCAGTAAACATAGGGGTGCATTTATCTCTTTCCTGAAATCGTGTTGAGAACACAAATCAAGATCTATTTCTGGAAAAAAGCAAAGAAGAATGAAACTAGAGATGAAGCCCCCAAAGGAGATGTCAAACTGTCTTGTTAGGAGGTGCCGACTCCCTGATAGCTAGGCCTGCGACTGAGCACAGACTTTCCTACGCTTGGATGATCTTTCCAGAACAATCATAAAGTGACAGAGCATCCAACTCTCTGTCAGAAGTCAGCTCAGCATGCAGTTCTGACCATCCAACTAGATCCAGTTTGGAGTGATGCAGAGTTAAAGCCTGACTGGACGTTAAAGATAGGAGACTGCAAAAAAACCACTGTCTATATACACATCAAAAGGCAAAGCTACATGTTTGCGGTTAACCTAACTAGCCCAGGGTCCACTTTTAATGAAGGCTGGGGATGGATGGGTAGGAGCTAAGAGAAGTGGAGGGAAGAGACCTCCGAGGGAATGAATGAGGAAGGTACTGGTGACTTTATATAATACAGATAACTACAAGATGAGGTCATGTCCAGACTGACGCCTTCTCTACATCTTTCTGAAAGAAATCGCTTCCTTGATTTAACCCCATGTAGCACTGAAACTCGTGCCTCTACATTATCATTGTCTTATAGGACTGAAGCATATGCTTAAAAGTATTGAAAACAACTTAGAATATATCAAGCAACAGCATCATCTTTCATTAACCTCTGAAAAACACTGCCCATTTCTGTGATCCTTTTATTTTCTGGGGCTTTCCACTCTTCTTTCAAGTCTCTCTTTTAAGACTTAAACCTGCCTCCACAGCCCCCATTCCCCTGTAAACTTAATTCAAAAGCTAGAAGAAGACAGTGTTTCTCATAGGTCTAATTTCCAATTCCATCTCATTCTAGTCCACTTTCTTTTTGGTCACAGTTCTGCCTGGAGGGCTCAGAGCTTTCACTTTTAGAATGAGGTCAAAGTCCACTTCCTCACCCCTTACCTTGGAGGCCCGGAAAGAGAAGGCTGTGGCCTTGGTGTCTGACTTCACCCGGTCCTGCAGTATAAGGCCTTGGTCCTCTGTCAAGGCCAGGTAGTGGCCTGTGGTGAGATGCCGGAGCCGGAAAGCCTGGCCCCATCTGATGTTGCTGCCACTCCAACTGTGCAGAGAAGAGCCGAGAAACTCAGTCTATTTCAATATTTATCCTGGGCTTTCTTCCACACACTAGCAGAATTGTAATCCCTCTGTGGTTTATCCCCTGGAGGGACAAAACGCCCATCTCCTGGCTTGCTCTAGGATTTCGGGTCTCCTGACAACTCAGCATGGTACTTCTCTTGCAGCCTCTCAACACCAACAAGGAGGCACCCTCGTGCACCATGGGTGGGAACGTAAACTGGCGCAGCCACTGTGGAAGACAGTGTGGAGGTCCCTCAGAAAATTAAAAATAGAATTACCACATGATCCAGTAATTCCACCACTGGATATTTACCCAAAGAATAAGAAAACACTAATTCAAAGAGATAAATGCACCCCTATGTTTACTGCAGCATTATCTTTAATAGCCAAGATATGAAAGCAACCCAAGTCTCCAACCATAGATGAGTGGATTAAAAAGATATGGGGCATGTGTGTGTATGTGTGTGTGTACATACATATATACAATGGACTATTATTTAGCTATCCAAAAAGAATGAGATCTTGCCATGGATGGATCCAGTGGGTATAATGTTAAGTGAAATAAGTCAGTCAGAGAAAGACAAATACCTTATGATTTTGCTCATATGTAAAATTCAAGAAACAAAACAAATGAACAAAAAGAAAGGGACAAAAAATAGACTTTTAAATACAGAGAACAAACTGGTGGTTGGTAGAGTGAGGTGGATGGGGAGATGGGTAAAACAAAGGGGATTAAGTATACACTTAATGAATACTGAGTAAATGTATAGAACTGTTGAATCATATTGTACACCTGAAATACTATAATACTGTATGTTAGTTATACTTCAATAAAAATAAAAGCAGGGAAAAAGACCACAACAAGAAAGATGATCCTGGGACAAGTTAACGATTTAATGTAACTAGAAGTCCCAAGCTTCCAATTTTCCCTTCACTCCACTGAAGTTTCTTGATATACAAAAACCACAAAAAGAATGCCTTATAAGGGAAACTCATTTTTGGAAAAGCAAAGCTATCCCTAATGTACTATCTCAACTCAAACTGTACTACCACAAAGAATCCTATCTTTGAGAGAAATGGTAAAAATACTTGGGCAACTTACACTCGCCAGAGAGAGGTAGATAATAAAGAAGTCTCTGTGTGTGTGTGTGTGTGTGTGTGTGTATTTTTGTATTAGAGGGTGATCCATTCTGTGGAAAAAAAGTGAAGCAAAATAGATGATTTAGATAAGGGAGACCTCCTGTTGAAATGGCAACCTTTCAATGGTCCTACATCAAACTGTTGGCATTCAACAAAAGTTACAATAAGAGTTAGGCGAGAAATTATCCACTGAATAACTTGAAACTCATTATCTTTTGAGTTAGAATAAAATCTTTAAGTTAGAATAAAATCTCATGGTTAGGCCTCTGGGGAAATAAACAACCATAACTGGAACTATTATATATACATACCTACTTTGACTTTGTAAAAAAGCCCATTAAGCAAGGCTTAATATCCTGAGAACAAGATTATGTTAGAGCAAGCATTTTAACAGGGCTGGAAAGAGAATATAAATGCTCCAAGCCAGCTATCAAGTGGGTGCTCCTTAAAAGCAATATTCTTTAAACCAGTAACCTCCAAAGAGTTTCTCAGTAAAAAATGTAAATGTATCTATGTGTGTATGTGTGTAAGTTCTAGTATTTTCTCCTGATCTATAATGGATTACCTTGAAAACTACCTTGGGGGCATACACCCTCACGAGAGAGACATTTACCGTGAACATACGTTCAGAGGGAGGCTGAGGAGCCAGCTGGCAGGAACAGCAGAGAAGGAAAAGCAGACACTGTCCCTCCTCTGTTATCCCAAGCAGCTAGTTTAGCTCTAGCCTGACTTGCAATCCCTCTTGGCAAAATAATGGCCCAGAGCTTACTGGATCCCCCTTTGTGGCGTGACATTCGGAGACCACATGTTTTTCCTCAAGCACACAGCTGAAGTCTCAGCCTCCTGTTCCTTCCACCCAGGTACAATAGTGTTTCTGACAAGTCCGGTAAATACGGTTTCCCTCTCGGCTACCTCTCCAGTGGTGCTTTAATCTTCTCTACCTCATGCCATCACAATCACTAGTCTCATTTAAAGCCAACATTCCACTGGAGCCAACACAACTACTGAGAAGAGAAACACTAGGTGGGTTTCAGAGACTCTGTTTAAGGAAACAAATGGGAGAAGTATTTTGATGGCTTTCAGCAGACCTGTCCAAGCTCACCTTCTATAACCTGGCCACCGGAAGGGGAGCAGGAGTGGGGGCTGGGTTTAGGGCTTCAGAATCAAAACAGAAGTCTTGGAAATTCTCATTCTCCCAATCTCACACTCTTACTCTCTCTCTCTCTCTCTCTCTCTCTGTGCATGTGTGTGCTGCTGTTGTTTAAAAACAAAGTCAGGAAAATTTCAAAACAGCTCTGGGCCAAGGAACTTGTGAGAGTTTGCCTGGTGATGTGGAATCAGTGAAATTTTTAAGAGAACAGACAGTACAGCAAAATAAAATTATCTTGAAAAGAGCACCACCCTGACCCTCCATTACCTTATCCGAAGGGGTTCCACTCTCCACAGAGATCTGGCTCGTGTCCCAGCTCCCCCAGCTTCATAGAATATCCTCCTGTGAGCAGAGTTGGAGATTAGCCTCTGAGCACGACACTGATCAGCACTGGGGAGGGAACAGCTCCCTGCAGAGGCTGTTCAATCCCCGCCGTTCTTTCCAAGCCCTCATGTAGTCAGCAAAAACTGAGAGCATGAGTCAAAGAGAAGCACAATTTTCCAGGCTCAATCGCTCAATCTTTTAGGAGGGAAAAAAGGCGCTAAAGGGGAGGGAAAAAAGGCGCTAAAGGGGAGGGAAGTGCTCACCATATACGGATCGAGGACACTCATAGACCTCAGGTGTACAACAAAAAGGACTGTCTCCATTTCCACATCAGGAATCAACACAGCCTCATCACATACCATCAGAGCAGATACCAAATGCTCTGATTCTTTTAGGTTAAGTTCCTTGTAGTTTTACATCTTTCAAAAATGTATTTGTACTTTTTAAAAATGTACCTGTCCTTTTAAAATATGCAGGCAATATGGTATGACTTCATTTCCATTATTCTAGGAAGTCTGGAGCAAAGCTTTATGCTCAGCTGCTATAGTAGTCATAACTTTATCACTCTACCGTTGTCGCCTTTCCTGCGTTAAAGATAATCTTTTAATATATTTTTAAATAAAATGTATATTTTGGAATGATATTAGGTTTACAAAGAAGTTGCAAAGACAATACAAAGAGTTGCACACTTTCACTTGGTATCCCCTAATGTGATCTTGCACTGTATGTAAGATGCACATGCTTCCCTTGTCAAAACGAAGAAACCAACATTGCTAGCTCATGGCTAGCTAAACTCAAGGCTTTACTTGGATTTCAGCAATTTTTCCATCAGTATTTTTCTTCCTGTTCCAGGATCCAATCCAGGAATACCACAATGCATTTAGCTGTCCTATTCTCCCTCGTTTCCTTTGGTCTCTTCTTAGACTTCCCTTGTTTTCCACGACTTTGACAATTTTGAGGAGTTGTGGTCAGGTATTCTGTAAAATGGCCCTTGATTTGGGTTTGCCCAACATTTATCTGATGATTAGTGAACTCTGTTTTTCATTCCATACAATAGGGACCGACCTACCTATATAAGTGACCGATTCTTGTTGAAGAGCTCTCAAGTCACACAGGATTTCCTTCTCAATCTTTACTGAGTGTTTCCTGATCACACGTACATTTGAAAAAGGTTTAGAATGTGTTCTATCATCCCACCACCCAGAGATAGCCGCTATTAATACAATGTTTCATTGTGTTTCTGTGTCATGTGTTTTCTATGCATGATGGAAACATCTGTATTTAAACAAAGTTTGGATAAATTTGTACTACACAGTATTTTGTACATCTGTGAATATCTTTGTGCACGTCAAAAAAAACCGCATTAACTTCTCACAACCATTCTATGACTTACATAACCAAATTAGACTAATTTTACAGATGACGAAGCCGAGTACAGAGCTGTGAAGGGACCTGACAAGGTCACACAGCTAACAGACGCACACTCAGGTCTGCCTGACTCCCAAGCTGGTATTTTCAACCAACTCCTAATTATGGTACTTCTTCAGATAAAAAATAGGAATTGCACATTTTCTCCTCACCTCTATCAATGACCTGTTGTCTCAAAATCTAGATCAAGATTCTTCTGGGGCTCGAGTGATTCAGTTGTGGTATACACAAATCTTCTGTGGTGGGATTTTAGTGAAATTGGTGAGATTAAATGTGGTTAAGTGATCAGTCTTGATCTAAGGTCACAAGATTCTCGAAAAGAGTCTGGATTCCATATACCAGGTAATCCGGGACCACTCTTCGTGAGATACGCTCTAACTGCCCAGGTGTCCCTGTGCCGGGTCTAGAACAGTGGTGACACCTCACAAGTCACACAAACTTGCTGAGTTTTTCACTCCTGCTTCTCCCCACTCAGTGAGAATTGGAAGGGCCTCTCAGGTGAAGAAGGTAGAACAGCTCACCCTATCTCACCGGATCAGAGAACTCTCTCCCTCTGACATCTGAGGAATTCTCGAAGGTTAGTCGCTCCTACCTGGGAAATGCGGGCAGCTTGCTCCATTTAATCTTGTAAGGTTACAGAGGTTGAAACAACCTGTTCCCATTCTCTAAAACAATTACCCAACGAGAGGAGTAGAGTGGGTGGTGAGCTGAGGTGCTTTGAAAGCTGGGCTGACAGCTCAGCCTCGGCTGCAAGAGGTTAAGACATTCACCCCCAGGGGGCTTGACAAACCAGAGCTCAGGTTGCTGGATTGCTGCTTTCAGGTTTGCACCCTGGGAGGGTCAGCCTCTCTGCCGGGCTTGCTTTCAGGCTTTAGAAGGAATAGAAATGATTTCCTCCGGAAAGTCAGCACCCTCCCTGTGGCATCAGGGAGGGTGCTGCATGCCTGAAGGTCTGCTGACCTCTTTTAGTGCATTCCTGATTTTCTATTCTTTTGGGTTCTCCCAGATTTCAGTATTCCTGGCCATCCTGGCCAGTTCTGAGGATTTCCCTGATGACACAAGACAATGAGGGGGGCTTATCACTCACCTCACCTAGACAGCCAATGCTAAAGCATCGTCTTGTGATTGAGAGACCAGCTGATACAAAAATGCAGGTCCCAGTATAATGAATAGCTCCTTACTCACCCCTTCATGCTTCCTTATAAAGTCTCAACCCCTTCATGCTTCCTTATAAATGAAAGGAATATGGCTTTTTTATCTGTGAATTTATTTCCCCCCAAATACAAATTAGATCCTGTGGAATCCTCCACCAAGGGAAGGTCACCTTTGTCTTATTTCAATGATGGCATGCAATGCCTGCTTCAAGGTGCCCATTCGGGGAATTCCTCTCCATCTGTTTCACTCTCCCTAGCACCTCCTTTCAAATATTTGTGCAGTTTTTCCTTTTACTCAGGCTCTTGTTCATGTACTTGACAGGAATGCCACCAAATGACAAGCTTCTCCAAGCAGAGTTTCTGCTCAGGATGTTTCTAATTTGGTTCTAAATTTAATGACAGGTATGTGTGTGGCGGGGGGAGGGCAGGTCAAGGGCCATGCACAGGATTATCATTTCATTTTTTTCCAAATTCCTGCCCTTTAAAGAAGAACTGGAATGGGAAGGAAGAACTAGTGTGTTCGGATGTGTTCCATCTTAGATGTAGCTAACTGCAAAACTCATAAAACTTCAGGTCTTTATCTACCTGTAAATCTTCCCTTTAATGCACAATAAGATATTAAAGAGACAGCACGTGGGCTCTTGCATAATTTTACTGTACAAAAAAAAAGGAAAAGAAAAGTCACAATTGGATATTGTGAAGGTGAAGCACCTGAAGCACCTGAAGCAATGACATTATTTAGGGTATGGAATCCTTAATTCTAAGGTCAGCCTAATGCCCTTCCTCAGAGATAACTGTCAGTTAACTGGACCAGTGTCAGGGAGGCAGGGAGTGAATTAATTAGGCACTTGCCATAGGTCTGTGATTTATGTGTCCTAGGTCAGGTCTGGTTCCCATGGAGAGAGATTCGGAAGAGAGAATAAGTAGGAAGAGACTCAGAACAACAGGGATACATACTGCCAATGCATAGTTTCTAAGACACACATTAACACATTCAAGCACACTGCTCTGCTCCTGAAGGTCCTCTTAGTTCATCAGATAAGGAACAAGCTATGGCTGGAGAGTCAGCCACATAGCTTCCAGGCTGCCATCTGAAAGCAGCCAGTATGTGACCTTTGGCAGGAGCCTGATCTAAATGCTCTCTTAGCTGTGAGGACGTGATCCCATGTTTCTAATCAAGTAAAAGAAATGCAGTTAACAAGGTTCCCATAGGCATTACACAAAAACAAAGAATGTATTACCTCTGGAAGATCACACCCATTGCTGCTACAAATTCAGCCTAATTTGGATCCAATTTTATTTTTAAAAAATATTTATCACATTTCCATAGTTACAGGGGCAAAGCTCTTTATACTCTGTTCCTTTGATGTTAGACAGACTACCAAGGGACTCTTCGGTATGAGTTTAAGATCTGGATTAGTATCTTCCATCTCTTGGTTTTGAATTTTGAAAAGCATTCACTGAGGAGTCAAGCAAAGCATCGCCCTCAGAAGCATCCTCTGAATGTTGCCCTTGGCACCATCCCTGCTAAATCCAGCTCCTGTTGGATACCGATACTTGGTTTCTCCAATCCTATTTGGTAATAAGCAAAATGAAATCACCCAATGCCACCTAAATGACTTCACACATGAGAGGGGGGAAAAGAGAGATCTGCCTCTGATGGTGAATAACTTAGGTGCACAAACTCCCTAGAATGACTCACCTGATTTCTGTCACCAAATGGGTGCTTCCATCTACAATAAATGCTACCAGAAACCCCTTAGGCAGAGCAGAAACTAAAGAAAATGAAGGTACTGGGAAGCTTTATGGAAGAGCTTGCTTAAGAAGCAGCACATGTATCCACGTACTCCCGTGAGCAAACTCCAGTGCGTTGCCATTCCTGTCTCACAAACTGCATCCCATGGCTGGAGGGAGGTTTGCCCATTGGCCGATGCTTACAGAATTCATCTGTGGCCATACCCAAATGCAAACTCTTTAGTCTGAGGCACCTGAGACTGGAGACAGCTGGGAGAAGGATGACGCTATCGGCTTACCTGTGCTGAGCATCATTCTGGTCTGTAGATGGTATCGTCAAACACTCATCGTGACCATGGAAGAGACGTACTACGTGCCCACCAAGTAGGTATCCTAGTGAGAGAATTATATTCTACTATGAACTTATGGGAAATTTAATGATGAGAACACCATGTTTAAAAAGGGTAAATTCGTGCAGGTCTGAGTTAGTTATGGAAAACACCAAGAAAGAAGCATTTGGAAAATGACAGATTCCATGAATTCTGGCCTCAGGAAGAAAAGACAAGAAAGTCAAAACAATTCTAACACTGAAAGTTAAATAGGATTTCAGAGATGAGCAAGTCCAACGTCAAAACGTGGGGTGAAAATAGTGTCACCTCATACCATTTAAAGGAAAATGATGTTGCTACTGTGAGGAAGATAAGGATTTTCCAGTTGCTTAGGATGAAAATATATCCAACATGAAATTCCTGGATAAGCTCTTACAGTCTCGATGTGTCTATTTTGTGGCAAAATCCCAACCAAATTGCAGTCATGGTGAAGAAAGAGGATGCTGGGAAGGAGGTCAGCAAACTTATTAAGAGCTGTCTTAGGGGAAGCTAGCTTTTGAATGCATTTAACAGACACAGATCAAACCTGGATGCTCATCCCACAGCACCGAAGGGAGGCGAAATGTCATTCCAGGATCCCAGAGCAGATGAGCCACTATCGATAAGCACTTAGCTTTCAGCATAAGGAATCTCAATAGTCATGGAGTTGCAAGATGTATAGGAAACAATGAGCTTCAAGGACATAATGACCCATTAGTCTTCAAATAAATTCTGAGCCTTAATTCAAAGAACATATAGGGAGAGGGACTCCAGTCTGAGGTTTACCTTGTACGAAGAAATGGAATTTGTTACCGCTTTGAATAAAAAAATTCTCTAGTCTGTTCCCAGGAGACATACGGACTTAATATACTCATGTCTCCATCAGGAGTTTTTTTTAAAAAATCACATAATTAGATCACTTCAGGGGCTACCAAACTATTCTGAGTGTTGAATTAACAATAAGAATGATGAAATGAAATCATGCCAGAGGAGAAAGGGGTGTTTATCAGTACAAATTGTACAGGGACAGTGTGATATTCCCATAGTTTTTTTTTTTTTTTTTTTTGTAACCATGTGAGGCAAGTTCTTCTTAAACTTCTTGCAAACAGTCAGAAATCGTTTCCCAATTTTCCTCTACCTTACTGTACTAATAGTTGCAGTTGTATACCCTTTTTTTGCATTAAAATCATTCATGATATACTGTCGGGGAATTCTTAACAGCCAATTTATTTAGAAAAATTAAAACCTTCCACAATCGTGCTCTTGATTACACTCTATCATTTCATGATGGCGAGGCCATGCCCCACTTGGATCCATCGTTTGCAGTCTTCAGGCTTTTCCAATCAATATTCTATTCACACGGAGAAAACTGCCAAGTGCTGGTGCATTACAGCGCTTACTAACTGAACTCTAGCCGGGCAATATTCGGGAAAGAAGGGTCATGACAAGGACCACTTATGCTTTCAGGGCTGAAGTGGGCTTCTCACCAGGGATGCTGAGAGGGCATTTTCTGCCTGGCCAGATGACTCAAGTGATGAGCTATCCAGGCTAAATTACAAGGGCACTCAACACATCGATAAGGACCTTTTTGACGTGATTTGCAAACACTTCTTAATTAATCTCCACAAGTTGTCTGTTGGGACTGGGGAATCATTTTATTCCTACTGTGAAAATGAAAAATTAACATGGAGAAGATCCAACCAAAACTTTCTTGGGGAAGACTGAAACCCAGAGCTTCTTGATTCCTGACAGAAAGGGAATGACAACAGACTCAAGGTGGTGGGTTAGTTTTGGTGTAAAAGCCTTTTTAAAAGCCTTCCACATGTTGCTGAAAGAGTTAAAAATCTGTCATTACCTGACTATTCAGCTTTGTTCTGATGCCTTCTGAAACTAGGACAACACTTTGACATCCTTAGTTTTCCCTCTATTTTCAAACATCTTATCATAGAAGGGCATTCCCAGTTTGAAACTACTGGGCTCAGGATCAAAAATCTGGTTAAAGCTGTGGTATGAGTATTTTTTAAAAATTCGATCTTGCTGTAAAGTGCTAGAATGTAAGATGATAACCTATATCAGTCACTGGCATTTGCTTATTCTACTCAGCTGCAATATTACCCATGAGTATGGTAAGGCCAGTATATTTATTCTCTAACTTGAAAGGTGCATTGACTTTGCCTGGCTCCAAGAAATAGGATATGTTGAACAAATTTTGATGATCTTACTTCCACAGGAAAAATAAAATACTGAGAAAATTCTATTACTGTTAAATGGTCTTCCATAAATACAAGTAAAAACAAATGGCCAAACACACTTTTATTATAAAGTCTTCTTCCACCTGTATGGAGAGATGCGTTGGGGAGAAATAGTACCAGCATCACCTTCTCGGAAAATAATCTCTTCTAAGACTGAAGTTGCTGAGGCCTATACCCTTCTAACCAGTAACCATAAATGGAAAGAAAGTCAGTGGGAGAGGGAGAGTGCATATCCAAGTCCTGCATGCCTATATACTCTAAAGGTGGGCTCTAAAGGATTAGAAGGTATTGTCAGGAATGCCCCTGTCATCACAAAGCAGGACAGAAAATAATCCACACCCACATTAGAGAATGAGATTCAGGGGAACTAAAATAATGTTAGCTGCGTAGCAAGACATGAAGCAGGAGCTGAGAAGCAGCAGAAAATGTCAATATATATAGCTCAAGACAGACTGGACGGCTGAGGGCTGAATGCACATAAAAAAGCACACCTTCTTCAATGCTACTTCCTGAGCACGTAGGATGTACATTCCAGAGTGTTTGCATAAAAGAGGCGTCCACTTGTATGTTCCCATTTGATACTGAGAGATGCTGCAGCAGAAACAGAAATGAGACATCCTTTAAATCACCAGGCCAGTCCTGACAGAAGCAGCTCAACCCAGAATCTCAAGGATTGAATTCAAGAGTCTCCCTGTCATCAGGCTCTTTCTACATAGCCCGTAGGAGACTGCTGTACACAATCTAGAAGCAGCTTCAAAGTGGGACACTTTATTCAGGGAAGAGGAAGTTTTCAGCTGCAGAGGTGGCAGACGAGTGTTGACTTCATCCCCTCAGCTGGATCCCTGATTCAACAGGAAGTTATAAAATGTCTCATCTTGTTAGAGGGAATTCACAAATGGCAAATGACTCCAGCATTTGGTCTAGGCAAAGTAAAATTGCCCGCAGTAATGGTGCTGAGAAGCTTAAAAACTTCTCTCTGACACTTCTCTGATATTCGGACACCTGAGGGCTTGATGTCAGTGATGCCCAGTACCCAATCCCCAGGTGCAAAAATCTCACCTGCATCTTTCAACCCCTGTGACGTGTCATTTGCCAAAACATTTTAAATTCTCCATTTCTCCCACATCAGCTTATTTTCCTATATCCTGTTCTTTCTGGCTTGTTCTTTACTGGACAAGAGCTAAACCATGTGAGAAATTCACAGTAAAGGTAGCTAATGTATAAATGGTTTTCTCAGGAAGTGCCTGGGCATTTTAGAAGAGTTGCTGGGCACAGTACCTTAATCTGAAAGGACAATTAACAGTTAAATTTCCAGGCCCCATGATAATGTGGCAAGGGAGAGAACTGAACCACCTACCTTTCTGGTATACTGTGCAAAGGATTCTTATCCTACCCAACTTAATGTGGCTCAGTTCGCCTCAGCCATTAGTTCCTAAAGGAAAATATTCTGAAAGTGAAAAGATGCCTGTTAGGAGGTACTTACAAGGTATCTTTCAGAGGACACGCTCACGAGGATGAGGTCATCACCAATTCGAACTTTCTCTCCCTCAGATCTCTGTTTGGAAGCGGGATGTATGGTCCACCAACAGGCTTCTCCTACATAAATGCTCCTTGAGTTAGTCATTGCTTCATGGAAATCAGTGTCCCTAATTCTGTCCCTCATTCTCCTTTCTCCTGATAACAATCCCTCAAGAGCACATGCACACACATACACATACTCCAGACCTCAGTCTCTATTTAGCCGCATATCCACTTGACTATGTCCAACACTTTTGCTCTCTCTAGTGACAGGAAGACAGTGTTTGGGAGAGAGTATTGGAGGCCAGAAACTATAGAAGCCTTTGACTATTTTTAAGACATAGAAAAATGCATTCTTCAAAGGCACTTACAAATCTTTAAGAATTGACTTCACTGGTCTATTACTTATATACTTTTATCTTTGCCACAGTCTCCATGAAATTCTATTAAAATATGAGTAATTCTACTAAAAAATCAGAGATTTTCAAAAGGCCTAAATCTACAAAGACTAGGACAGCAGGTGAAAAGTTGATAGCAAAGAAGAGAAATGGACAATTTGGAAAAAGGAAAGCAGATAGATGCTTTTAGTGAAGAGGAAGCTAAAATCCAAGTCTTTAAGAAAGTAAGGAAAATGGAGAAGTCGATTTCAAGAAATAAAGCCATCCCTGCTGTGTGTTTCCCAGAAAGTCTCCCAGAATTGGGAGGTAAGTTACTTATAAAGGTAGCAGCAGAAGATGGCGTTGAAAGCAGAATTGACTAGAAGCTATTAAGGAACTTTTATCTCCTGCCACATCTTTTTCTGTACCCTGCACAGCCAGATGACTCCTTCTCCTCTACCCTACAGAAGATTGAGTTAAATCCACAGAATGACCAACCATCAAAGTTCTGGTTTTGTAATACCAACCACTGTCAAACAAGGAAGTGAAAAGTATTGCGAAAAACAGAGAATCATTAAAATTTTATGCCCTGATAAGTAAAACCCCAGCTCCTTTCCCTCTGCCTCTGTGCCTCATACACTAGCTGAGATGCTAAATCTCCTCCTCCCCTCAAATTTAAGGATTCTTCTTTAGGAAAGCCAAACTACCCAACATAAAATATAATTCTGTCTGGGCATCTCCACTGAAATGCCTAGTCCTTGCCAGGTTAGCCAAAAGTGAGGCTTAACAGATGGCAAGCCATTGTCACACACTCAGGGTTTCTGGTCAGCTTTTACTGCCTTGATCTGAACATGAAGGGAGACCAAGGATCACCCAGCATCTAAGTCAAGTCACTAACATGAACGGCAAGAACAAAACAGTGGGGAAAGAGACTTGGAGAAAGAAAAGATTACAGAGAACCAAAGAAAACTTTTAAAAAGTCATATAATTAATAATCTTAGAGAGATAAGAAAAAGCTACATTCATAAAGCAGGAATGAAAGTATCCATGAATGATCCCTTTGGAGAAAAATTCTTTGATCCTGAAAGAGAGAGAAAGAAACAAGAGGGTTATAGGATAAAGTAAAAAAAAATCTCCCCAAAAGAATGAAGAGAAATAGATTAGAAATAGGAGTGAAGAGAAAATTAGAAAACCAATCTAGAGGATTTCCAGAAAGCATAAACAGAGAAAACAAAGTCAGGAATTAATGAAGAAATAGTATTAAACATTTCCCAAAGCTAGAAGACAAGCATTCAGATTGAAAAGGCCCACAGGGTCCCTAGCACAGTGGAGAGAGATCCACACCAGGGTCCATTCTCGTGAGACTTGGAACAAATAGGATCCATGCCCAGACATATCACTGTGGAATTTCAGACAGAAGGGCAAAAGAAAAATCTAAGTAGCTCTGAGAAAATATCAATAGTCTCTACATAAAAGATCGGGAATCTGAATGTAGATGTGTCAATAGCCAGGCCATAAGCTGGAAGAAAAGGAAGAAAGCCTTCATGATGTGGAGGACAAAACATATTTCCAATGTAGAATACTATGAATTACTTATGAAGCTGGAATTAAGGAACTTTTAGATGATAATTTACCTCCCATGGATCTTTTCTGTAAAAGCTATGGGATAATGGGCGCCACCAAAGTGACGTGGTAAACCAAGGAGGAACCCCTCCCCCCCGCAAAAAAACAAAACAAAACATGAGATCCGGGAAACATGGAATCTAGAAGAGAGGCAAAGGAAACTTTCTGGATGATGGTGGATGTTTCTAGAAGAGGACACTGACAGAACAGCTGATATGAGTGAATCCGATCAGGGGAAAGTTTCAGTTCTACAGGACAGTTTGAAATGAATGAATGATTGGGTCACAGAAAATAAAGCAAACAATTTTTTTCTAACTCTCAAAAAGTCTAAAGTCATTTTACCAATGTAAAAAGAATGAACATATCGGACTATTCTGGTTATGAGTTCTAAGACTGACAGCTGGTTTATATTTGGAGGCCAACTTACAATCCGTGAGTGTGGCACTTCACACATTTGTGTCAGTAATTGTCAGCAAAGGTTGACAACAACTTAGAGGAAATTATATTTTAAGAATTACACTTTAGCTGAAAGCAAAGCAACCTCAAATCCAATGCAAATATAATCTTATTTTAAGGGAAAAAACTCAATAGGCGGAGGCAAGCCCACTCTCCTGCTTTTGTACAAAAAGGAGAAGTGGAGAGCCAGAGGTCCTCCTCAGGAATTCTCATACATCTCTGTACATAACGCAGAGATGGCAGGTGCACATGGTTTAATCTCTTGATTTTTTTCTAGATCCTCTATAAAATCAGACAATTTGGATCATTCCCTTATGAACTGACAGTTTGGGAACAACATGGACTTTTGTCCTTTGACTACCCAACAGTGGAATTCCCCTTCCTATTTGGGGTAAATGTCATGATATTAAAGATTGTATTCAAATTAGACTCTTCCTGTAGTATGACCTAGGATGTTTTCTCTTCTCTGGCCTCTCTTTGTTCCTGTCCATTTTCCAAGCCTGGGGTTTCTACTTTAGAGCAGGTTCTACCCAACATTCACCCAGTAAATTCTCATTCTGCTTGAGTGAACCAGAATGAGTTTCTGCCATTTGCAACCAAGAATCCTGACTGCTATATAGCCCAACCTGTAAATGGAGCAGAAATTCCATATACATTGTCCTTGATGGATGGTCAGATTACCTATGAATGTTTCCAGCCACAGACAGCACCCTACACCCCAAGGCCAGCCGTTAGGTCTGCCAGATAATTGCAGCTATTGCAAAGTGGTTTTCTTCATTGAGGTGAAGTGTGCCTCCTTTCAACTTCTATCTACTGCTCCACTGGTCTATGGAATAACCCACACCAAGTCAGACTCTTCTTTGATACTGTAACTATAAGTATGTATAGTTATATTGGTCCTCTTATATTATTGGTCCTCTTGTATTTCCAGGGAGAACCTACATCATCCTGGTTGCCACCTTTCTCAGGATGCACCTCCTGACCATCAATATTTTTGACTGAACTCAAAACAAAACACAAAAATAGCAAGTGTTTCCCAAAGTATATGACTCTGGTGAAAGCATTATGTTCTCCTTCATTCTTAGTTCCTATGTCTCTATCACACATTGTTTCTTTCTTAGTCTCCTAAATTTTATCAGACCTATTTCTTGACCCCACTGGTTGGTTGGTTTGGAATGCCAAATGAAGAACATATTCAATATCCTTAAGCCCTTAGCCCAAGACCCCAGTGAGTAGGAGATCTGGGAATGTTGACTTACCTGTGGCATGTTCCCGTAGACCTACATCAAAGGCAAGTTTATCTGTCTGGGATCTTGATGTGGTCAAACATGTTAGATACTGTGAAACAAGAGCAGATGCTAATGAAGTCACACTCCTTTATTGGGTCTTGGCATCTCACCACTAGTTGGCTTCCAGTCATCAATTTCAATACTGAGCTATTGTAGAAAGGGCTTATCATATTCAATACTTTTATAGTATATTTAAAATCTCAAAGATGTTCTTATCTGATGACCCAGTGATTTAACTTCTAGAACCATATGCTACAGAAATAAGTTTGAAATTAGTATTTCAAACATATTTAGTCATATGCTTTAGTTCAAAGGTACTGAAGAACTTTTACATTGGAGACAATATAAATGGAACATATACAACCAACAATAATAGAAAGGCTGATAAACTTTGGTACTTCATTTTGTGAAATATGTTACCATTAAGAGTATTTATCCCAAGTGTGTAATAGCATGGAACATATACAACATAGCACATTTGCACAGTTAACAGGTAAGCAAAATTTAAATGCCTGGCAACTAGGCTAAAAGGAATTATACAAACTGATAACTGAAGTTCCTTTTGGACAGTGGGAGGGACCATGATGATTCCCCCCACTTCTATCAATTTTGTTTTTCAAACTTTCTATGAGCTATGAAACTTCTCTGTGTCTATGCTTTTTTTCCCCCCCAATCATAAAAATACATGTGCATGTAGAACTTAACAATGATATTTAAAATAACTTAATAATGGGGGAAAAAACCCATGGCCCATTCCTCGCCTCCTTTACTGACAGGCACAGTGGCTGATCTTGGAATTAGACTGGTAGGCAGATATGCACTTGGAATGTATTTTCTGAGTTCTACTTTTTTTTTACTTCTCTGCAACAGGAAAGTGGAGAGTCATTTCATTGTCCAAAGTCATATGTCACCAGCTTCATTCTCAGAGCTGCTCCTAAAAAGAACTAACTAGTTTAACTCTAAAACTAGAGTTTCTGTTAACTGTGAGTCGGATTTTTTTGGGGGTGGGGACAGCAAATATAATAATAAATAACATAATCCTTCAGACTGTTACCATGCTGTTAGCCTGAGTTTTCAAAGCCATGAGAAGTGTGCTCTTGGAGGGCTGGGTCTATTTAGGTAGGAAAAGAGAAGTATGAAGGTTTGATTCACCCTATGGATAAACACCAGGTTCTGAAAGATACACGCTCACTTCTCAATTCTAGACATCATCAGGATACAGAGTTCCCCACTCTCTCAATGTCCCCATCTCCCACTCCAATAACCTTCCATTTGGTCACTTTTGTTCTCCGTCCTTTGCCACGAAAGACTACAACAGATGAATGTTCAGGCTGAAAAGGTCAACTTCTTACCAGTGCTCAGGAAAAAAAATGCTGCAATAAATAATTTACGAGGCAGCTGATGCTCCCACTGCCAGCGTGACAGTTCAAGCTTCGAGATGAGCTTTGCTGCATACTGCAGGTGTAAACGTGTGAAAATGACGTCTTGAATTAATGCAACATTTTCCACTAGGGCCAGACAAAGAGGACAAGCCTTCCTCGCACTGAGAGCAAGTGACAATGACAGAGGCAGGGACAGGAGCAAACATGATGAGAGCTGGCACGTACTACACTTGATTGGGATCGCGATACTCTCCTTAAGGTGCCCTGCCAAAGATCTGCAATATCTCTATTTTACAAATTGCATTGACTTCAAATTTGAACAATTTTTCTCCTCTTCCATTGAGTTATCCCCATTTTGGTTGATTCTGGTTCTAGAGCCCTAACTAGTTACAGCTCGATGAGTTTTCTGTGACTGCTCCGTATCTTCCTATCGCCTCTGGATTCACATAATACCTTCAAACGATTCCAGGACTGAAGGCAATGGATATCATCCCATTTCCTGTAGCTAGTCAAAGAGTTGAAAGTTCACAAAAATCTCATCTGATTGATTTTTCTTCTATGCTGGCTATCCTTATATGCTCAAGAAGTCCATTATTTCATGGTTTATTTCTTCATCAAGTCAACAAATATTTATTGAGCATCTAGTATGTCAAGGCACTGTCCTTAGTAGGGTTGGGTTTAGTGAAATTAAAAAAAAAAGACATGGTCCTCTGCCTCATGGAGTTGGGGGGGGGTGGTGGTCAAACATTAAGCAAATACATAATTGCAAAATGAGATAAACTATATGAAGGAATTGCAAAAACAGTGTGTTCTAATTATTTACATTGCAAATTATTTCCACTGTTAATGTAATCTACAAGCTTGTTGGTTTCCTATACTTTCTCCCCTCTTTTTCCCTCCTCTTTGAATGGTGAAAGCAGACACCCGGATGTACTTACCATTCCGCTGAAGGAGTGCCGCAGGAGAATCGCGTGGCCATATAGCAGGGTCCTGTGGCCACCCCCTTGTGCTGCCTGTGGGGAAGGACAAGGAAAAATGTCAGCACAGGGCTTTTGTGGTCCCTCTGAGAGCAAAGCATGACAAGAATTCTGGAAGACAGACTACAGAGAAAAGACCCATGGCAAAGCTCCCAAAGAATTCATTCTAGAAGTGAGTGGCTAGCCTACGGGCAAGGGGGAGACGGTGACCACAGCCATGCAACATCCTTGGGAGAGGGTGTGTGAGGCCAAACCTCCTCTTGGAAATGTCCCCTGCCCAGGATCAGCAGCAACCCCGAGCTGTTCCACCAGAGAAGCATATAAATGAGATAGGTACTGCTTACCTTCCTTTGAAACTTCTCAGAAGCGTTCAGAGTGAGAGAGAGAAACAAATGTGATGTAACTCTAGCCTAGCGACAGAAAGGCAGCTTGGGGGACAGGCATATGGTCACATTCTGTACCCTGCGGTCTTTTCCCTTCAAGGCACTTGGCCTTCTGCCCAATCACTTAAATGGGTCCTATTTACCCAGATCTCACCATTCCAGATGGCTCTGAAATCCAGGACTTTCAAAGGGCAACCAGTAATGCAGAAATAGACCCATCGGTTGAGGGGCCTTCTTGGTACCTTCTCTGCCTCCCCGGACAGCCCCATCTTGGCTGTTCACTCAGTGGCAGCCAATCAGCAGGAAAGGCACAAGAGGAGAGATAGCCTAACATAAAGCCACTGTGTCTGTTGCTTTTTCCCAGAGTCTGAGCCACACATCACTATCTGAACTGAATAGCACACGATCAGAGAGACAAAACTATTATTTATCATGGAAAAAACTGAAATCTACAAGAAATCCTACAATTTTTTGGCATCAACTTTTTCAACCTTTTACCTAAATCTCTTCCTATCCTGTTGCCCTCCCCTCAGAGACAGTCAAATAGTTTTGATCACACACCCCTTTTAGGAAAAAATATTTGACCACAGGACCCCACCCCTAATGCACAAAAATATTTGAGCAGAGGACCCCATCCCTAATGCACAAAAAAAGTATCCAAAGCCTGAGATGGAAATGAATCATAAAGAGAGATTCTAACATTTGCCTTCTATATGCCAAGGGCACTTCTTACGCACCTTATTTTATTCAGACCCGCATACCAGCAGCCCTAGAGGCTGGTTTGAGGTTCTGCTCCACTCCTCTCCTGCGCCTACCCTCCCTCAGAGCAATGAGCAATGAAGGGGAAAGCCAGGGGTACGGAGAGCAGCCTCAGGTCTGAATAATAAGTCTAGAGTCATTTTATTTCAACTCTATTTGGATTAAAAGAATCACTCTGTCAAAGAGATTATCTTTTCATGTCATACCAGGAACCTAAAGAAAAGAAAAATGATAGACGTGGTATCATGTTTTTTAAAAAGCTGATAACCATATATAAATGGGGCTGTACTTTTTCCTCACAGCTTGGAGAGATTTAAGGGCTCCCAGGCTTCAATACGATGGAGAAATTAAATGTTCTTTGTGCTGTTTCCAAATTTCTTGAAATCATTCGAACTAACATCAGTTGCTGTATTTACAAATGTGTCAACAGCTATGTTAAAATTAGTCATACCAAGTAATTTTTACATCCTGTCAGTCTGATATTTTCCCCGCACACCTGCAATATTAGAAGCTAATTGATAGCGCATGATGACTTACGTGTGGGAGTGTGCTCCCAAACTGGTCCCGTGTCTCCAACTGAACTACCGACTACATTATATGTCCTGGTGTTAACCGTGGGTCACACCCTCGTCTTTGTTCCCATCAACTCAGCGAGCAAACTTAAAAAGAGTCCAGCGTCGCTGACCACAAAAAGTGGCACGGAAGAGCTCCATGTTCCTCCTCTTCTCTGGCACTGCTGGAAACGTCTCCTGGCCCTCGTGTTCTTTATTATGGTGCCAACAGAAAAGCAGAGAGACTAAGTCCAGGCGCCCCACTGGGACTGAATGGGACGGCACTGTGCAGCACCTGGGACCCTTCCCAGCCGGACTCCTCCCTCTGCTAGGGCAGTGGTTCTCTCTCTGTCTGCTGGTTAAAACTTAAGCCACTGGACCCTGCTCCGCAGCACTTGCTTCACTAGGGCCAGGGGTGGAGCCTGGGAACTGGCATTTCTAACAAGTTCCAGGGGACAGGACACTGAGGTTGTTGGTCCAGTGATGACATTCTGAGAACCACTGCTTAAGGATCAAGCTTCAGTGCTTGGAAGAGGAGAGGAGCTTTTTCTGAGAAGCTTTGATAATCATCATCCTGGGAGAGCTACTCTGGGCACACACTATATGTAGGCGCTTTACATAACATCGTAGCCCATCCTCCTGACTTTCCTAAGTAGGAATAATTTCCCCCATTTATAATGTGAGGAATTTGAAGTTCAAAGAGGGTAAGTATCTTGCCGTCTATCACCGGGCTGGATGTGGTGGTGGGGGGAAGTGAACTCCTAGTTCACTCCAGAACTTGAGCTCATTTCGCTCTAGTTTCTATAACGTCTTCATTTGCCTACTGTGTACAAAACCCGTGTACGAAGTAACCAGGGAAGCAGGAGAGGGAGATACTTCCTCAGCTCCTGGAGGAAGGTGAATTGATACAGCGGGGGTTTCGTGAGCACTAAGCATACAGCGGCCACAGAACTATGCCAAGTGTGACACATGAACGATCTCACTTTCTATTTCCCATTAATGCTGTGACATAACTAGAGTAATTATCTCCATTTTAGAGCAATGCAAACTGAGGCTTCAAGAGGTTAAGTAACTTGCTCAAAGTCATACAGGTTCCAAGGGCAGAGTTGGGATTTAACCATATGCTATATGTTGTCTCCCTCTTGGGAGCCTGGTCTAGAAAGTCTAGAAAGACTTATGAATTAAAAAACCCATGTTACAAATAGGAAACAACCTGCCTATTAAAACAGATGAAATCAAGGAGCATTGGAATAGACCAGGAAGGTAAAAAGGTGTTGAGGAATAACTTTATCGATAAGGTAGATCCTGACAGGTCCGAGTGTTGGTCATCAATGAGAGTAGGAAAGAGGAACCCACGTGAGCAAAGGCCTGGACGTGGAGAGTATGAAGTGCATGTGGGGACTAGCCGATGATTCGCTGACTAGCACTGGGGTTGGCTGAAATGAGAGGGAACATCTGGAAAAAAGTTAGGGCACAGGCGCGGGGCAGTCGGATTACGGAGGACTATGACTGCCAGTTCCACAGCTACCGGGACACTGGCGTAGGGGTCTTGTTTGTTTGTTTGTTCTGTTTTTCTTACTGGTATAGGTTTTTAAAAGGAGAGTATCACAATCAAAAATGTACCTTCGGAAGGTAACCCTGACCACACAATGGTGGAAGAATTGGAGGCATCAAACCCTAGGGACAGAAAAGATCATTCTTTCATTCCATTTCCATGACAACAGGAGAATGTGGACCAAAAATCTTGCTGTCAACCTTTACTCCTTCCCCCCTCTCAGGCTCCCCGATCAAGCCAAAGCACCTCTGGGTGCCATCTTTGAAATCTATTCTATACCCAAGTATTCAGCTTGCTGCTGCCAGGCTGGTTCAACCTACTGCCTGTTTCACCTGGACAATAATAGCCTCCTAACTCTGCTGCATCCATACTCCCACTCCCTCTTATAGTCTGAACCAACATGGCAGCCAGAGCCATCTTTTTACAGCTGTCCTTCTTGTTCAGCTCCCCCCACCCCCCAACACACCACCCACTGTGGCTCCTTTTCACACTGAGAAGTGCAACATCCTCACCATGGCCTCCAAGACCAGGCATCAGGATTTGGCAAATTTTCTCTGTCAAAGACCAGGCAGTAAAGGTTTTAGGCTTTACAGGGCACACGTGGTCTCTGTCACACAGTCTTTTTTACTTCAACCGACTTTTTCAAAACTTAAAAACCATTCTTACCTAGAGGGCTATCCACAAACAAGCCGCAGCCTGAGTATGGCTGCGGGCCTTGGTTGCTGATCCCTGCTGTCCTTGATCTGGTTCCCTTCCAACTCTCTGACGTCAGCACCTACCATGAGCACGCTCCCCATCACCACCTCTGCTCCAGCCACTTGGAACGCCCTCTGTTGTTCAGACTAGGATGCTCCCTCCTATAACAGGGCCTTGGCACACATGTTCCCCTCCACCTGGAATGTTCTTCCTCCAATACCCTCATGGCTTATGCCCAGTCTTCATTCAGTTCTGTGCTTACATATCTCATTAGAGAAGCCTTCCCTGATCACCCCCTCTGAAAGAAAAATCACCCTTATTCTATCTTAATTTGCTGATGTATTATTTCTTGAGACATTTATTATTAGCTGATATGAATTCCTGTTATCTCTGATATGTATCTCTCCTCTGCCACTCCCAAGCATATGAAAGCTCCGTGCATCTGTTGTGTCCTCTGCCACGTCAACATCACTTTTATCAGTGCCCGGCAATGAGGAGGCACTCATATTCATATTTCCTGAATGAATAAATAATAATTACACAAAGTGGTCTTTTTGTCTCCCTTTTACAGATGGGAAAAGAGGAACTTTCCCATATTCGGCTTGTAGGCAGCGAGCGTGGATTTGAACCTGGGTCGAACTACATTTTCTACTAACTCTTTCCACAGTTTGACTCTAATTCTGAAATAACATTCCAGGAAAGATGTGATATGCTCCACAGAAGACTGCACGGGCCTGTTCACAGGGGCTCCAGACCTCAAGACTTCGAGGCTTCACTGGGATAGCAGTCCTGTCCCTCCACAAGTGACCTCCACTGTCACCACTGATGGGAGGAGATTACTTGGTACCACCTCACAGGACGGGGGTGGGGCAGGACAAAGCTGGTAAAAGCACCCTGATGCCAGGTCCAGAGGAAACATGTTCCACTAGATCATTAATTCAATCATCTTGCCTGTAATTTTAAAATTAATTCCATCCTTGACATTTCTTTTGGTGGTTACCAGAAGATGGTGCCTCCCAGTAAGATAAACCTGATGTGGCAACAAACAAAGGGTCACAGTGCTCTCCAGCCATACGTATTTCAAGACTGTTA